CTGGAAATTATCTGAAGACTTGCAACAATCCAGGGAACATTTGTTTAAAAAAACAACTGACTCCTGATAAGACAGTGGGCCATGTGGCATTTTAACTTGCTTACTCTCAGTTCCTTCTTGGCAGCTCCACAGCAGCCTTGAAAATCAGCAGCCTTGCAAACATAGTATCTGGGAAAACCCACAGCCTGACAGTCACTGGAGAAGTCAAAATGGGTTTTGTTGGGGGCGGGGGTTGGGGGACAGCTGGACCGTAACTAGAGTGGCAAAAACATAATTTATTGAAAAAACAATTGCGGTAGCGGAAGCAGACCTCAGTGTAGAAACTGGCTCAATGCTGAACACAATAAGGAAAAATGAGAATTTATAGCCAAGGAGTAGGGTGGGGATCAATAGAGGGACAATAAGAAGTAACATGGAGGGTGAGGGGGGATTCTGACTAAGTTGGCCTAACAAGATTCTTGTCAGAGACAGGCCAGGGTGATCAGAAATCACGTGGGAAGATGGTGGTGGATAAGGGACTTCATTAGCTATCAAGCAAGAGTGGTCAGAGAGCAAGGATGGAGAATCACAGTTAAACTTCGCAGGTTGCCTGCTGAAATTGGATGACTCAGAGAGGAATATGGAGGCTTAAAACTCAGGGTCCGTTTGACAGAAGAGTTCAAGGGAGCCAGAGTAGAGCTTGGTCAAAGAGAGAATCTTTGTCACTTTAGGGCTTCTCAAAAAGCCACCATGCCTAGAGAACAGCCATTGTTTGACCCGACTGGCTGCTCCCTAAAAGCCCTAGTCATGGGGCGTGTTTCTGTGTCACCTCGTTCAGTGCTCACGCAGCCTTACCCTTAACCTTCACCCCATCTCCAGCCGTGTCCCAAACCCTAATCACTGTCTGGTCCTTTGATTCAATCAGGGACAGCTCTGAAGGGCCACCCTAGCTGTCTCTATAGGTTTGGCTGATGCCTCCTTTGAAAACACCACTCAGTTTAACCTCTTCTCCTGCCCAATCCTGCTCCCTCACTCATTCACGGAAAGCCACTGCGAAGAGCTCCCCACCCTTGTCAAATTTTTTTCTGCACACAAATCACCATTTTAGAGTCTGTTTTCAAAGGCTCCAACTTAAGACAGAGGTAGTGATAATACCAAAGAGAGAAGTGATATTTGAAGCAGTAAAATCATTAGGAAGGCAAATAAGGGAATGGACTTGAAAACACAAGGTGGCGTGTTGATTTAAAAGGGGAAATTTTCTCCATTTCGAAGAGCAGAAAGGAAGCGATAGAGACAGGTGGGGGAACTTTGAGAGTCACAGTAAGACTGTGACCCATGGAAGATTTGTTCCCCTAAGAAAATTAAAGTGTTAGGTAAACAAAAATGGAAATATGTGTTGGCCAAGCAAAATAAATAGTTGTCCCCTGCAAGTGAAATTCAGGAGCACAAAATTTAATCAGAAAAGGCAGAAAAATAAATCAGAGAGCTAGATAGCTATGGGAAACACAGAGGATCTTCTCTGTCTTCCCAGTCCAATAACATTTTTCTTTCTGATAATCTGCTTTCCTTTCTCTCTTCCCACTTTGTTTATTCACCCTGGCCAAATTGATACTACCCATTTCACCTTATATTTCGACATGACCTCTGGTTCTAGCTTCTGTTTCTTAATGTGTAGTTCCTGTTTGGTATCTGCTTTTTTTGCAAATCACCAGACTTTTCTGTATGAGCATTTACAGAACATGACCAATGTCAGAGTTCAGAGATTTTGTTTGATTTTGCTGGGAGTACAGTGAGCACTTCATATGTGCACTCAGCTCCCTCTGACTACAAGTTTAAATCCCAGCTCATCTCATCAGTCAAGGAATGGCTGGAAAACCTCTTAAGTCAAAAGTACGGTATTAGTTCAACAAAGCTGTAACTGGGTTTGGGTTTGGGGGAAGGGAGTTGTTTTGTATGCTGTCTGTTCAATGGAGGCTTTGGTTTAATAATCATCAGGCACCTGAAGAAGTGAGTTATAATGAAATTTTATAACAGCAAGAATGAGTTTCCCCAAAATCCACATTTTACATGTATATGTTTCTAAGGCTTTTTTTTTTTAATTTGAGAAAGTTTATTCCTGATTGTTTGAAGACATGAATGTGTTAAGAAAAATCCCAAATGGACCAATAAGACTTCCTACTAATCCCATTCCATTTATCAGATAATTGACTTTCAAGAAAGATGTTTTGTAGCAGAACAAATTCTATATATATTTCTCTGAAGGTATAAAGAAAGTCTTTGAACTTCAACAGCCTCTGACAGAAAACTTGGTAGAGGAGAGAAGTGACGCTGCTGGGCAAAGTCGTTTTTCTTTGAGCCCTCGAAGCTGTTGATCGGTGACTGAAGCCGGGTGGGTCGAACCCTCCCAGCAGCCCAGGCACGTCTTCCGTGCTTCTCTCTCCAGACTTGGTGTTCATATCAGCTATTAAAGTTTTCTCTGTTTAACTGATTGGCTACAGTATCACAACTGTGTCCCTGAGCTGGAGAGTACATGTTGTTCTTGGTGTCCCATGTCAATCTTACCAGGAGTCTATTATATCCTGTTGCTATTCTTTGTAGCTTCTTGATAGGAGCTTTTAGTTTACCTTACTTGCAGTGTGGATAGAGATTTCTCGTCTATTTTGAAATTTTTTATCTCTATTTTCATCAGTGAATTCCCTAATTTCTCTCTTGTGATGATATGATGATTTTTCCCATTGCACATGAGTGCCTTATGTAAAGATCATTAACCTTTGTCATGCATTTTGTCAATATTAAATCTTAATTTGTTCCTCATCGTTGAAGAAACATCTTAGGCTACTCCCATTATGCTCTGAATACCTTCACTCTGAGGTTCCCATGCCATCTGGTCATCAGCTGCCAAATCTTACCAGCTGCCAAATCTAGTCCTTCTTATCCTCACTGCAGCCAACAATGCAATTTAAATCTCAGCCCTCCTGCTGTCTGCTCTCTAAGCTAGGGCTTACCTAGCAAGCCTGGCTTTTCTGTTGTTATTGTACACTTGACACTAATATAATTTTACACATCAGTTATATCTTAATTTTAAAAGTTATGCTCTAAAATATTTAATGAAGTAATTCTGACTCTGTTTATCTAGTGAGGTAAGAATCTAAATTAATGTTTTTTAATAAAAGACTTATTTTCCATCAGCATTAATTCATGGAAAAATCCTGTTCATTTATTGGTGATGTCACCTTTTTCTTTTATACATTTTTATATAAAATAATGTTTGTGTCTCAGGAAGAGAGAATGGTCTACATTGGATTAAAATGCCAAGGTAAATAGGAGATATTTACAAGTTATTCAATAAATAACCTGTGAATCAAAATTAACATCTGTTTAATTTTATTTCATAATCAATTAAACATTTCAAATAAAAAAGACAACTAAAAAGTCTCCAGGTTTTGCTTTAGTTTCACATTTCACACACTGCACAATATTTACAAGACACTCCTTGTGACTGTTTCAAACTTGGGGAGAGAGGAGACCACGATTCTCCCTGAAGCTTAAATACACCCGAGGGTTTCTTTCATTTTCTAATCTGAGAGATCCAAACCAGTTTTCACTCCCAATATAACGTCTAGATAAAAACTAACCTTTGCTTGCTTCTCCTGTTAAACACTGAGGACAACATAAAAACAAGACAGCTTTGTTACTAAGTTAATGATCCCTTGAAAATGTACATAGCTATATGACGATTCCTAAATTTGTTAAAAAAAGAACGGAAAAGAAATTAGTTTTCCTGTGAGCGCTCTCTTTTTCTCTCTCTCTCTCTTTCTGGTATATTGCATTCACTAGAAAGCATCTATCTATAGACATCAGTAAGAATAACTATCCTTAGGGAACAATAAAAAATAATAAGCTAAATAAAAATAATAAAGAAAATGTTACACAAAATCTCTTATTTTATAAAAATTATTACAATCTTGAGCCATATTTAGACACTATTAGCTGGGACCACTGCATTGCAGAAACTAAAATGAGAGTACATTTTCCTTCACCAAAAACCCCCATGTTCACAGAATTAAACAGTGACATAAGCTAAATATTCAATCTCAGAAATAAAGCAGAGGTTTTTTGAGTAATAGTCCAGTGAACTCATGTCCTTAAATGAAAAAGGGCAGCCACAACCATCTGGACACCGAAGCTCTTCGGTACCCACATTTGGGGCTGTACCTTTTTCATGAGGGTGGCCATCTGTGGAAGTGAACTCCTTAAATAACCGTGTGAACCAATGACCTACAGCATGGCTTAATCAATGTAGAAAGACTCTTCACAGAATCTGAGGTTGAAATTCACAGAGATACAAACAAGTAATAATGCCTGATGAGTCAATCCAGGAAAGACAATTCTTCACGGCTGTAATATCTATTTCAGTGACAGACTTTGTCCCCACTGAGACCTACTTATTTGTCTGTAAAGTGCCTTCCCAGTTGCTAGATTTAAATCTCAGAAATAAAATTTATCTCTTAAGAAAAAAGTAAGCTCAGTGTTAAAGTTTGTTTTTAGGTAAATGAATTGGATTTGTGGTTGTTAGCTTCTCTAAAGACATAACTACAACAGTGAAGAAAGTTAATGATCATGTGAGTAAATCCAAAGATCGTGCCTCAGTAATGTAGTTAACTAGTCTTAGGAAAGGCACCAAAATAAGTGTCAAAATTAAAATATCCTACAATTCCCACAGAGTTCAACTTCCTTTGCTTGATTCCCATACTTTTCATAAATGAGTGTGATCAAGGCACTTTAGAATTTTCTATGTTCTGTCATTTGTGCCCATATAATTCATTAAAAATCTAAGATTACAGAAAGGTTCATTGTCATTTTAAAGAAAGTAAAATTAAATTCCTTAGGCTAAAAAAAACCTTTGAGTTGACAATTTTTTTCCCTACGTAATCACATTGGACCATGAGTGGGGATTAAAACCACGAATGTCTTGTTTTTTATTTTAGTCTAAAATATATATATTGTATTACTGCTGATTTTTAGATAAGAATCACTACCTTTAATAACCCTCACATTGAAAACAAAATACATAAATATATAACTATTTGGAAAAATACTACCTCTTTGTGAGACCAGGAAAAATACAGAGAAAATGTATGTAGTAGCGTCCAAGTTGCATGAGCGTTTTTCAGTTTGGGAAGCTCATCAGTTGTTTGGGCTGTTTCCTCAAAACTGTTGAGTCTGTTTATGACTTCCTTTCAAGAAAAGACAAAGAAAGAAAGAAACAAATGAACAACCAAAACACCTTCCTCAGAAGTCTGGGAATGCCTTTATGATGGACTCATAGGTAGGTGGGGGCGGAGGTGAAAGGCCCGCCGGGAGACTGCTGCTGGACCAGTGGAACTCAGGGCGGCCCAGGCCGTGGGCAGTGTTGCCGCTGGGAGAGGTGCTGGAAGAAGGCAGAGTCATCACATGACTGTCAGTTTCCATGGGAAGTGGGGGGCTTTGCAGAAACGGATGAAAAGTTGAAGCCCTGAAGCTTGACTTCCTTGGAAAGGAATTTCCTAGCTCCAGGGATGCCTGTCGCTGGAAAGTGAGGCTGGCCAGGCTGAGGTTGCTTCGACGTTCATAGCCACTGTGGCGGTAAAACCCAGTCCTGTTGAGGCCGTGGGTGTAGGAAGACCTCGATCGCCGACTGGAGCTCCAGTGCGAGATGCGGGCACTGGCTCTTCGTCGAGACAAACAAACGAGCAGAGCCCAAATAAACCCTCCGATTACAAGCCCAATGGCCATGGACACTGTGAAGGACGTTATAAGATCCTCTGAAACAAACAAACAAACAAACAAAACCAGAATAAGTAATTTGATTTTTAAATAGGGGTTCAACTAAAAACACAGGGTGGAGGACAAGTAGTAATTATGGAATGGTATAGATGATTAAACAGATTTTCAATTAAAGGAATAGAAAATGGTTCTAGATGAATATGAATAAATGAAAACTGTTACTTTTTTTAAAATTTAAACAAAAGGATATGAAATAACATTTTAGGTGTACCATTCCATGTTGTTTTTGTTATTTCATTATCTTTAAAAAACAAGTAATAAAAATAGTCTCATTTTTTTAAAAAAAGGCCATTCTTTAGCTCATAAAAATTTTATAGGGTTGCAAATGTAGTCTAAAGATTTTTTTCCATTTGAGTTACACAAGTAATGTGCCAAAAATTGATAAAGAATTTTGTAATCATATTTATTTTGCCTTTTCCTCTGCTCTCATCAACCCACTGATGTCTCCCACATACAGCCTTCATGATGTCTCACTTCCTGTGTTCATTCTGAGTCAGGAAGTGTTGAGCTAGAACCACCTGGTGGGCTGACTGATTTATATTGTATTTCCTGAAATTCTGAACTATCACTTATATCTATGACTCACGGAGGACATGACCTATGCAGACTACTGGGCTCTTTCTTGATCCCCAAGTTCTAGTTCATGCTGCCATCATGTCCTTGTTTTGATAATAAAATTCCTGTCTCCTGAGTTTCCATAGAATCTCTACTATATAGCAGTATCCTTCCATTCACAAAACTTACATTCTTTCAGATTTCCTGTTCTGGTGGGAAATGGAGAAGGGCAGAAAATCCTACCAAAAATAGAAATTCTACTTTATTGTTTCTTTGTGGGGACTAAAAACATATTCTCGAATGAAACTGGGTAACAGAGCCCCTACTTTCAATGAAAAGACACCCTGGATATTAAAAGAGACCCCAGCCTTAGCGCTCACCACATCTTCCCATTCTCTACTCCATGATCTCATCCATAAGTCATGTTGATTTTCTCTCTAACCCAAAGCCTGCCACTCTCTCTTAAACTCTGTGCTTTTCCATGTATTTTTTTCCTTTATATCTGGTTAAAACTTTTACGTTTCTGTCTGGAAAACTCAGTGTTCAAGTTCTATTTCGAGTATCGCCTTTTGGATAGGGACGCCTCCATTTCATTAACAAAAATCAGTTACCATTAAGAGGGGTAAGTTAGCGTATCTAACTGCTCATCTAAGGATTTTTGTATTGAGAGATCCATGGACTGGAAATTAATTAAATGGGGTTGTGAGATTGGGAAAAAAAAGAAGGGGAGTTTCAAATGCTCGAAGCTCCTTACATGAAGAAGTAGCCTCTACTTTCTCACCCCTTGAATCTGATCAGACTTCATGACTTGCTTTGACCAAAAAGACTCAATGGAAATGAAACTGTGTAAGCTTCCACCCCTTGTGCTCTTGGGGACCCTGCAACTGCCAACACATAGACTCATCCAGCTTGGCCTGCTAGATGGTGGGAGACACGTGGCCCAGTTACTTTTGTGGTCCTGACCAAGAAACTGCTGAACTCTAAACATATTAATGAAATTATTCAGATAATTCAGATTCTAGTCAAACCAATATTTGAGTGTGATACATGAAAAAAGACCAGCAGAAAATGCATTAAGCTGATCTGGGCCCAAATCGCCAGCCCACAGAATTATTAGTTAAGTAAATGATTATTTTAGGCCACTAAGTTTTGGGATAGATTGTTACACAGCGAAAGCTAACTGATTCAGGGTTCCAAATGCAGCTCTCTCACTAACATCTTGTGTGATTTTTAGGAAATTTATTCAGAAGCATTGATTTCGTTATTTTTAATGGAGTTAGATTTTTATGATTGGCAAGGTTTTTTCCAGTTAATGTTGCATTCTACAACAATGTATAGAAAATCTGTAATTCAGTAATAACAAAATATGCCAATGTGAATGCATGCATAAGAATAATTATTGCTCCTTAATCTTAGGATATGTTTAGTGCCTTTCCACCTTTTATTATTACTTTTATCTCTTGTGAAAAAAACTATATTTGTTATGTCCTACTTTCACAATTATTTTTACAAATATAAAAACCCTCAAAGACAATTGGTTATATTAAATCTAAACGATAATTTTTATAATAGAAAGATGACTTTTAAATTACAAGATGATTTAAGAAAAATCTGTTGACCCAGTATTGTTCTTCCAAATATGTCTCCCCAAAATAATATTAAGTCATGGCCTTAAAATGCAATCTCTTGAGATAAGCATTTCTCTGAGTTAGGCTCTATCTAAAAAAAAAAAAACAAATAAAGCTAGAACCCAAAATTGGCCTTACCAGTAATATAGTAAAATTCCAAATTAACTTCTAACTCTTAGTGCCCCAAATATTTGGAACCTAAAAAAGAAGGTGTGGGCATTCAGGAGTTCTAAGGCATTGGCAGCAATGTAAATCAGAATTGCCCAACATTTCTTCCAAAAAACAGTGTAGAACGACAAAAAATGAACGGATAAAACTGTACAACACCCACGCCTTCAGCATAATTAGAAGACAGTGAACATTCAACTTCAAGTTACCTAGAAAATGAACAATGAAAGACAATACTGATACCAATAAGTTATCTCCCGTGCTCCCACTGCAAGCCTTCATGGAGAAGAAAGGCAATTCTGTAATAACTATGTCACAGGAAAGAAACTTTGGAGTTCATACAAGAATGTGAGGAGGCAGTCTTGGAAAGACTGCCAATCATATCTCATGTGATTCTATTTACATAAAATGTGCGGGACAGAGAAGACACTGGAGATACACAGTGCACGGCGACCGCCCGGCCCTGGGGGATGAAATGGGAGGGAACGGGAATGAATGACCGCTAAGGCAGCGGGCGTCTTTCTGAAGGACACAATGTTCTCAGATTAGATTGTGGTGATGGTCACACAACTCTGTGACGAAAATAAAAACCTTTTACATATACGCTTTGTGGGTGAATTATCTCTCAATAAAGCTGTTGAAAAACAACAAGGAAAGAAAAAAGAGAGGCACTTTTTGGAAACTACACAATGACAGAGAAAAGAAAGAGTAAACGGAAATTTTAGGATCCTTTAAGATGAAAGAAAATTAAAAACAGGTAAAGGACATATAACCCCTCTCCTACCTTCACTTTCTAAAAATAAAAGTCAACCAGTAAAAACAAACACCACACTTTGCTCTACTGAGAAAGGATTCTAGAATAACTCCCAGGATTCTGGTGTGGACAGGCCAGAGTGGGTGCCAGATTTGATAGCCTGTTATGAACAAAAATAGCTTGGGAAAGTTATGGTAAATCAATACTATGTATTCTATGGGTATATTTCCCTGAACCAACAACCTCCATTAGAGAATTTTGAATATTAACAACTTCAAATATAGAAACAAAGATATGGGGTTTAAGCTAAAACAATCTTTTAAAAATGCCTTGTGCTCAAATTTCTCATTCTATTGATATTGAAAGAGTTTAAAGCTTATGTGGTAGAACTAACACAGTTTATTTTAATAACTGAATATTGACAACTAACATTTGTCAGGGAACTAACTCATGTATTGCTTTCAGTCATGTATGACATAAAACAAGAAGACCAATACTCAAGTTCATAAAATAAATATTCTTGGTTTTGTACATAAGCTCATGTAACCACTAGGGTCCGATTGAAAATTTAAATACATCAGGATACAAGCAGGTAGATAGATGAGAGCAAAGAAATATAGTTACTTTATTTCAACTAAATGGAGATAAAACTAAGATCTGGAAACACATTCAGTTACCCAGCAAAGGCAATTGAAGGTCACGGGAGTCCCCGTGCATGATCTGAATGCATCTCCCCTTTCAGCCTCCCTACCGCAGTCTCTCCTGATAAATAACTTGTTTCTCATAGTTTATCTATAGTGAAAAATGGCACCAGGTTCCATTTCATTTAAAAAATCAAAACCTTTAAAAAGATACAATCAAGGAAAAATAATATCTTCTTATTAATGTGGCAGAAAGTTAGCAAAGAAAACTAAAATATGTGGAGTAAGAAATATATTTATATGCCAGGTGACTTTGACTTCCAAAATATATTATTGTTCTGATATAAGAAAACAAGAATCATATACAGACCCAGTATATGAGTTGTTAAAGAATATTTTCAACCATCACAATATTCTTCCATAACACATTTCAGTTCTGTGAGTGAAAGGATTATTTCGAGGGACACTAAAACTAGAATAATATCCCCAATAGAGCCATTTGACAATAAATCTATTTGAAATGAGTCTGTGCCCAAAATTTTGGGAAATGGCAAGGAGAGTAGATAATTATGATTCAAAATATATTATTATTATAAATAAAAGACTATATGGTTACATACATATCTGAAGAGGATTAAATAATGAATTTTAAGGATACATTGGAATAATATGTACATCTTAACAATAAACTACTCAAATTTTGAAGGAAAATATAACAAAGTAGAGCTACAGAAATTATAAAAATGACATACAAAAAATCATGCTACCTTGGATATAGATGTCCGTAATTTTTGTTGTTCAGTTGAGTGCACATGTCATGAAAATGGTTTCCTTTCCCATAAAGTCAGTCAAATACCTATTTTAGATATTATTTCATTAATTCTTATGTCTTTGCTATATGTGCAGGATTTTTAATATTTTCAAATAATAGTAATGACATAAGACTTTCTAAGACTTGCTGAAATAGCTATTCCATCTTGCTAAGCTCCCTAAAAGCAAACTGCAAGAACAAGTGTGAAATGCAGAAGAGCAATAAGAAAGAATTGTCAAGAGTCTTAATTGTAGCAGCCTGTCCCAGAGTGGTCTTCCACAAGGATTCTTTTCATTTATAATGAATGAATTCATTAAAATTCATTATAATGAATTTTCTGGCCCAAACTGTAGAATCCAGAAAAAATAATTAAAAAAAGCATCTATTGGCCAGACAGCTTTAAAGTTATAAATATTTCATT